ATCAGATTGGTGTGAGATGAACAAGATGACAATTAATACTAAGAAATGTAAGATCATGCGAATAACCAGGAAAAGGGACCCTTAGTTGAGGAGTATAACATTGAAGGTCAACCCTTGGAATATGTTAATGTTTATAAAGATTTAGGATTGTTTACTGTTAGTGGTGTCTCATGGAACTAGCATATAGATAGAATAACTGCTAAGGCCAATAGGGTTTTAGGGTTGGTAAAAAGGACTTGTAGGGACTTAAATGATGTTCAAACAATGAGAATGCTTTATTGTAGTCTTGTGAGACCCTTATTGGAATATTCATGTGAAACTTGGAACCCTTATACTAAACGTAACATTGACAAATTGGAGGCTCTTCAGCGAAGAGCTACTAGATGAATCACTAGGTTTGATGATGATTATGGTACTAGACTATCTAAATTGAAAATGTTGCTATTACCTGATAGGAGGTTCATTAAGGATGTTACGTTTTTGTTCAATGTAATTAATGGCCATTATGACATAGACATTTCCAATAACCTCATATTTTGTAGGGACAGAAGCATGACTTATAATTTGAGGAAAAATAACAAACAGGACCTTGTCCCAAATTTTAGCAGAACTAACGGTCTCAAATATAGTTTTTTTAACCGTATCGTTGGTGAATGGAATAGCTTACCTAATCACATTAGAGAAACAGATAGTATTGAAACTTTTAAAAAGAATGTTTTAAGTTTTATTAAGGATAAGGATAATTAGGGCATTTGTTTTAATATTTCAATATAGTTTTGCTATATTAAATTTTTTTAATTCGAGGGGGGCATCCCTTGTATGGTGCGTCAGCGCTTTTGGTTGTCTCCGTCTCCACAATTTTTCCTTTTAAGGTTTTTATTAACCTTAATTGTGATTCATACTAATTGTTTGTGTATTCTTGTGGAGTGAATTTGTAATAAATAAGGATAAAGGAATAAAATAAATAAAAAGACAGTTAATATCAATCCATTGCTGTCATCGGAAATAATGTTTACCGTTAACGGTTAAAATTTGTCAATTTTTACGGCTAACGGCTACCATGGCACTTTCAAGAAAATTCTTTTACGTCGTTTAGTTGTAATTCTACAAGGATAGTTGTGTTGTAGGCGCCCAGAATGATTAAGAAAACGATGTGAATGTATATAAGGACTAAATCATATGGGAGTAATAGTTTCTATGGTTTGAAGAGACTGACTCTCTGAAACGTCTTACCAATAGAGAGCCTTTGTGGCATATTTGAAATATTGTGAGGGAATAGTGAGATTGTGTCAGTGGCAAACTAAGGCTTTAGTGGGCTTGAGTAAGTTTAAAGGATTCTTATTGGTAGTATTTCTTAAAGGAATTGCTTCTTCGTAAGAATTAACTTAGGACTTGTTATTCAATAAAAAAGTTAGATGCGTTGGAGTTTAGAAAAGTTTCTCCATGTACTTTTGTTGTAAAGTTCAACAATTTTGAAGTTTTCTTTGGTTCTTTTTATGAATTTGAAGAACCTTCTAATAATCCTCTCTCATTAAAGTTTGTATTAAAATTTAGACTAAGACGATTAATTTTTTTCTGTACCCAATATAGAGCTGATGTATAACTTACGTTTGGTTCTGTGACTTCCACTGTTTGTTTAGCGCTTGCGTGTGTTCTCATACCAGGGCTGCTTAAAGTCTTGAAAACACAGAAACTGGCCCCTAGTCCAGGTGGGCCCTGGGTACCATTGTACCCAGATGGTCCACGAAGGCCCTGAACACCAGGTGGTCCAGGTAGTCCAGATGGTCCTGCAGAACCCTGAGTACCATTATATCCTGGAAGTCCGGGAGACCCGACAGGTCCAATATTACCCTTAGAACTGTTGAATCCCGTTGGCCATGTGATCTAAGAAAACAAGATCTCCTGTTTTGATAAGAAGCAAGGATAATTTTTTGGCCAAAAAAGAAAAGTTTCCCAGAAGACGTGGTGATAATTTCACTGATATCGTGGAACAGCTGTGAGGAAGGGTGGCGAGAGGCTTTAGCTGTCGTCACTATTTCCTCGCGCGGAATTTTTTGGATAGACTCCACCGATTGTGACTGCTAGTTTCTCTCGGAGCACTTCACTCATAGCGCGAAGATCCTTTAGTTTGAGCCGCCTCGGGGGAGCTCACACTATGTTACACGGATAAATTGTTTATAAGTAAAGGACGAGCACTTCAAACCTTTGGGACCTGCAATCGTTTCATCAGTCTGTAGTCCACATCCAATATGCTGTTCACGGGTGAACTAAATATTTTAGGCCCTTTTTATATGAGCGGGGCTGATACAATTAGAAGATCTACCAGGTCACTAGTTTTGGTATTAGACACGGTACAGGAAACGTATGGGCAGGTTAGGTGACTCTTCGGTGACGCAGTCAGTTTCATAAATTCACGAATTGTTTTTTTATGAGATTAATAAAAATGATTTGTGTGGACCTTTCTTACTTCCTTTGAGAAACCAAGAGCATTGCTTAAAAGGCAAAAAAAAACTGTTAGCGAGAACGTCTTTGTAGAGCTATGAAGAGATTATGTCGTAGTGAAGTTACACTGAGTTTTATTTCTTTTTCCCGAGCTACAAGAAATGCATAAAGCTTACACCGTGTCAAATAAATTTTTATAGCTGTACAATCTTCCACATGTCAGTTGTTATCCACGCAAAAATCAACACTCATACTACTCCATGCTGTTCCAAAAATTAGTAATGACTTTTAGGAGTTACAAGAAATGCATAAAGCTTACACCGTGTCAAATAAATTCCTATAGCTGTACAATCTTCCACATGGGAAAGAAAATTCAAGTTTAGTTTCTATAAAATAGTTTAATGAAATAGTTTAATTAATAAAATCGAGAAAAATACCACATGTGAACATTTTCTTGTCCATATTAGTTTGTACTGTTTTCACTTTGTCCAAAATTGCATGCTGAGTGGAAAATTTCTCTCTGAAGCCATACTGGACTTCAAATAATAGTTCATTATATTCGATGTATGATTTCAATCGGTTGTACATAATTTTTTCAAAGATTCTTTTGAAGACGGAGAGTAGTGAAATGGGACTGTAGTTCCTAGGGTCGGTCTCATCGTCGCCCTTGTATACCGGGATAATTTTGCATGTTTTAGCTTCGAAGGATATTTTCCACTTTGGACAGAGAGGTTGATAAGCTCAGCTGGTGGTGAAGCGAGTATGCTCTTTGCACATTTAAAAACACGAATAGGGCATGAATATAGTCCATAAGCCTTGTTTGGTGGTAAAAGCGAGATTTCTAGTTCGATATCTGATGAAATGACTGGTTCAAAGAAAAAGGAAGTGGTGAAATTGATATTTGTTAAGTATTCGTTATAGTGATAATTACTATCTTGTACATTTGCCGCTAGCTTTTGGCCAACCGTAGAAAGGAAATCGTTTTAGTACGTTCGGCAATTCACCTGGGTTGAGCGTCATACCATTCCCGTTTAGTCGTTTAAGGCCAACAATGGGTTTTGATATTCTTTTGTTTCGGTTCAGTACGTCGTTGATTCCAATCCATGTTTTCTTCATATCGTTCATATGTTGTGTGAAATATCTGTGATGATAGAGCTTTTTATTAAGACGAATTAGAGATGTAATTTTGTTTCGATAGAGTTTGTATTTGTCGGTATCCGCTGAGGCGAATAGAACGTTTTTAATTTTTATAGGTTTGATTAGCCCTTTGGAAATCCACGGTTTTAAGGATTGCTTGAATTTTCGCTTTGATAGAGGTTTAAGCGGAGCATGTTTGTTTGTCAGTTTGTTAAGTTTGTTATAAATTTTTGAAAAAGGGATATCGATATTTACATTTGTTCTTGCAAGAATCGATTCCCAGCCGACTTGCGCTAATTCAGAGTTATAATCCTCTTCTGAAAACCTAGAGAAGTCACGCACCATGGTCTTTTTAGGGAAATTTGTTTCGCACGAGAATTCAGTCAAGCAGAATTGACAGTAGTAGTCGCTTATGTCTGAGTTCATGTTGCAACTTGTGATTCCGCCACAGTTTTTATTTACAAAAATGTTGTCATTTAGAGTGGCCTAGTTGCTGTATACTCTAGTTGGTTTATCAATCGTTGGAATGAACGAGTAGCTTTGTAAGATGAGTAAGAACTCACCGAGAGCAGCGAGGTCCGTACAAAAAAGACCGAGGGTCGATATTCTCCCAGTAAGGTCCCAAGCAAGCTTGGTTAATAAGAGATTTATAATACGACTGAAGAAAGCTTTGAAGGTTTTTCACAAATTCCATGGAACATTATGGGGAAAATGTACAGGATAAAAAGCACCCGATTCTGAGGGCTTAGCATGTGTACATTTTACGGCAGATGAAATATGCTTTTATTTTTTTCGTTATATTTTAAGAACAAACAAAATAACGTAACGCGTAAGTTCTTCGTGTTGTTTTGAAGTGTAAGCCATTACAACGCAAGCATCAGTTTGAGATACTTTTAATTGAACTTTTGATTGGTACAAAGTCTATTAAGCGTGACAGGGGCTGTCAAAACTGTCAGAAAAGCCAACGTTCCATTTTCATTCAACGCGTAGTTTCTCGCAAGGTCCTGAAAAGTCAACTGAAACTTTGATTCTGCGACTGAAAGGTTTTAACGACGAAAGGGAAAAATTTTTATCAAAGTGCAATACTTTAAGGCTTTGTCGTTTTGAACAAATTTAAAACCAACGTCTTTAATGGAAATTCGTTTCATGCCGAAACTCGGGTAAATGGCAACATAGGCGTCGCTAAAAGTTGGAATTAGCGATCAGAAATCGGCAAATCGAGCGGGACGGAAAATATTTAATCTTCGTCGTCGCTTTCAATGATGTACCTTCTTGGTCGCTGGTTTCTTCATTTCATCAGGCCTGTGTTTCTCGAACGCCGGTTTGTAGATTTTCACCGGGCATCTAGCATCACTTGTAGCGAAGAGCTTTGGGGAGAAAAGTCGTCTGTGGCCAGTTTCACTGCTGCCTTGCCTTGATTTTGATCCTTTCTCCATCCTCCAAACGAGAAGTTCTCGGCCGGTTTCAGGATCTTTTTTAGCAGTACACCTCCCTAGCACAGATTTCTGGACTCGTCTCTGGCTCGAAAACCAAAATGCAACATAAGAAACCAACAAAGGGTTATTTGCAGGACAAGGGGGTCGTGGTCAGCGAACTGCCTGGTTTCGAAGAGCTTTTGTTCTTCTTCTGTTAATTCCTGAGTAGCGTTTGGCTTGTTGCCGAAACCACTTTGAAAGGGGCTCTTTCGTTTTGCGGCGAGGACCTGACGGCTGCGGGAATACTCGTCATCTTCAAAGATATAGAAAAGTAACTTCTTCTCAGAAAAGTAGTAGCGCTGGAAGCTTCTTTGAAATGAACGTGAGTGAACTCGGATCGTACTCTTCGCTATTTTCTTTTGTAATACCTTTAAAAATCCTTGAAAGTAGTTTGTCGAGTTCCTTTGCAGTCATAGTTTCTGGTTCTCTTGATTCGTCAATTGTGGAACAAAACCGCTTTAGAGCTCTCATTTCAGACTTTGTTTTCTTGACTGTACTGCTTGACTTTTGTGCCGGAATAAAATCTTCGAGTTTTTGAGTGTCACTGTTGCTTTCGCGTTCAGCTATATGGTTACCATCTTGGTTACTTATCTCGCTCGTACTCGGTGTTTCCACCGCTGGAGCTGGTTCACCATTATTCGTCGTGCTTTTGAAAATTTCTAATTCAAGGCTGAAACAGGTTTTCTCAAAGTCAGCCATCCATTCTGGAGTTTTTCGACGAGATTTTCCAAAGATTTCGTCCTCGTCTGCCATCTTAATTTCAAGTTCAAAGGGACTCAAGTGCGGTATCATTCGGGACCATTCGGGACAATTCCCGGTCCAATACTTAGAGTATATTGGACCGGCAATAGAGCATTTTGATTGGTTTATCTTAGTCATTGGCCCTCTGACTGCCTGAGTCATGTAATAAAGAATATAATGTATGCTAAATACGAAGAGGGTATAAGATTAAATAAAGTTACAAAACACGATAAGAAGTATTTGTTGAATTGTTCAGTGAGGGTATATCAGAGGATAATGAAATTGAAGTATAGAGCAAGGTGGTTGTGATATTCGGATATACAGCAATAAAAACCCTCGATGTCCTTTGATTTGAATACTTTAATCAACACACTATCCACATGGCAGCCAACGAGTATCACAACAACAACTTTCCCTAGGCATCACGGGATGCCTACGAACACAACCTTTTCGCACTTCCGGTACAATACACTACAGTGGTATTTATTAATGTCTTCTTGTAATAGACCCTTGTGTCTTTATAAGAGTCAGACACACGCGTCAAAGTATTGTAAATTTCAACTGAGTTCAGATGTTGAGAAAAATCTTGGTCCTACTCCAATGTACATTAACCCTGGCAAAACAATAATGGCACCATATAGCCAAGCTAATGAGTTGATATTTGGACAAAATTCCGGACAACAATGTGTCGTAATGAGTTTATGCTCTTTGATTTACAATAACAAACAAGGAATTAATTCTGCTAATTATCTCGTGTCAATAATGAGTAATGAAAATCAGTTGTATTCATGTTTGTCTCAGTTAACCAGACAATAATTTTTTTTTAATGCAGACAGAATTACCCACACTTTTAAATATGTTAGAGGCTGATTATGAACTTCAGTACAGTGAGAGCTACACCGGTACTATTCATCGAGTACCTCCTTAGATAGAGCCCTTCAATCACTTGTATCTGAAAATTGCAACAATTTTGTCGATGCCTGTGCAACCAGAAAGTTAAATGCGAGTTGTGCTGTGGCTGTCTATTTACTCTGCTACCCTGTAATAAATCATGTAGTTATTGGAATTCAAATCCCTTGTCTAATGTTATTCAGTATGGCAAAAGATTATAAGAAAATTCATCTTTAAAGAAGTATTACTGTAAGATGATTTGCCAAAAACTGTTGATGTTTGTGAGACTGAAATAAGTTTAGATTCTAAAAGTGATAACAGTGAGGGAATATTGTCTGATTCAGTTGACAGCAAATCAATTCTCGAATATCTTGCAAAAAATTATAATTAATGCACAGGGTTTTTGATGTGGTTTTCAGTTCCTTGTATGACATGTATTTTTAAACCCGCGAAAAGGTCAAAATATGTGTATTCCATCTTGGTATTTAATGAAAGTCAAATGCCTCTAATTTAATATACTAAAACTGTAAATAGCACTGCTTCTCTCGTTGTAGCAATCAGCAACATTCAATATTCAGAGATTTTCCTATCAAAAACAATATGAATTATTGAACAGTAATATTGATTCAATCTACTGATTTCTGACAACTACCCTTGGGTGAACATTTGGCAACAAACTATGACTTGGTACCTATAATAGATAAAAAATTCCCTTCTTGCAGTTAAAGGCAAATACATTAGCTACCCAGGGTTCGTAAAAGTCCTGAAAGTCCTTGAAGATGCTTGAATTTAAAAATGAAAAATTTAATGCCTTAACAGTACTTGAATTTGAGGACTAAGGGTTAATTTTTGCTATGCTTTATCTTTAGCGATTTTCAAGTTGAAAATTACAGTACTTAAATGGAAAAGCTGAGAAATAATAATAAATAATTTTAAAATTGCTTATGCAAAGTTTTCCAAAAGTGGTCCTTCAATTTTCTAACACTCAACCTTCAAAGTCATTGAAAAGTTTTACAGATGCCAAAGGTTGAAATTCAATAAACTAACTCCTATACCGGTAATACTATTTTAATTGTTGTCTAGTACCATAACAACATTCATTACACTCCAGTAGACAAAAAAAACACAAGTATACTACTTATTCGTGACCAGCAATGACGAAATTGTGTGACGACAGTAACGATAGCAATATGGCAGTCCCCTAAAGATAACTTCGGATGTGCCATATTGAAAGCCCGAGTTCACGTAGCTATGCGTCTAGTTTTAACTGAAGTGGCTCTGAGTCCCACGTAATTTAATGGAGGCCAAGTGGAATTATGTGATAGCAAAACTGAGTAAATATAACTTTTACTAACTACTTACAAAAACATCAGAAAACTGAACAGAAGGCACGTTATTAGATTAAAATTTTATTGTTATGAGATATTTACCTTTTTTGAGTAATATTTCCTGCAGTTAAATTTCCCCCAGTTATTACTTGTAACTCGCTGAAGTCGCGGCCATAGGGCTACGATGTTACGCGAAGCTACTTGTACTCCTTTTAACTTGACATGCTAGAACATACTTTTTCGTTCGTTAAGTTATATTGTTTCACAAGAATAAATCCCATTGGACTTGTTTGGATGCTATCCTAAGGAATCAAATTCTATACATTTGGCATTGACAAAAAGATTGGTATAGATTTAAATATAGGAAAAAGAAACAGCTTTCGGTGAAAATGGGGAGCAGTTTTTTGAGTACGTTGGTTGCTTTGTTTTGTGACATTCACCTAACTTTCTTTTAATTTCAGCCTTAGCGCGAACTATCATGTTGAAACTCCTTCTTAACTTCGAATTCCGTTTGTTTTGTTTTCTTGAAAGTGATGTTTTGGATTTCTGGACTGAAATTTGACGCAGCCGGGCACAACTTCGCGAAATGGGTTTCACGCAAGAAATCAAAAACACGATTAGATCGATGATGCTTGCATTTTAGTAAGCATGGATAAAGTGTTTACTGGAACCGACTCAACTTAAGTCCTTGCAGTACTGACCGAGCGGTGCAAAACTAAGTGAAGCAAAGCTACCTTTCTTAATTTTCCAGCTGATAAAGACCTTCATATCATTCAGGATTAAAGCCGTAGTCGACAGAGAGAGTAAAACGGGGACTGATTCCTTGAAACTAGGCAAATTAGAGCGGGCGTGAAAGTCGGTCAAGACATAGGAACCAAGTTTCTGATTAAATAAATCATGTACATTTTTGAATGGGTTGGGATGACAAGGAAATCTTGGCCTAGTATATTATAGATATTTCAGAATTGTTGCTTCGACACCATGTAAAGTAAACAAAATGTGGTTACATAAGGCGATTATCAAATAAGTGATAAAAGTGATCCCAGATTGCTTAGGCTTTGGTTCAGAAAGCTCGCGACATCCCCGATTAAATAGTCTCCCTCGCAGCCGCCTTTAGTCTCGTCACGCAACGCTCCTCCCCACAAACGACTGCTCCAAGTTCGAACAACATTCCTTTCCCTTTGTTGTCTTTGCACCAATGAGATCACTGACATTGTTTCTTATGTGACCAATCAGAGCACAAGAGATTGTAATCAATATCGTTATTCCTGCGTTTTCAAATTCTGCATTTCATCGTAGTTTCTTGCTGAAGGAAACGCTGAAGAAGGTTTTGCAAAGTGATCGTTGTTTTATTTGTTTCACCTCAGTTGAGACAAAAGAAAAAATTTATGTTTTTGGAAAAAAYTTCTTTTGAATTTCCGGCGAATATTAGTTCCTGTCTGGATCTGAATGTGAGCTGCTATTCAGCGACAAGCGAGTTGTCAGTTTGTAAAGCTTGCTACCGACGATTGATCAAGTTTAAAAAGGCCTCTGATCATCTTGAAGAGCTCAAAGATGAATTGAAGGAAATCTTCAAGGATCGAGAACTTCCCAGAAAGAAGCGCTTATTGAGCGTTGAGAGCGACGGTGGAGAAATCCAAGCTTCGTGCCGTGGGAAATCCTCGAAATGCTTACAATTCGATCCGATCAATACGACTTGTACCTCTAATGCTACAGCCAATTCTAATATTTCTACCGCGATCAGCCAACAGGGACGTTATACTCCGGCAAGATTCCCTATTGGTTCTATTGGCGTATTGATTTAGATGCCCCAAAATGATATCACTGGATAAACAAACACAAGAACAACATGCTCAGGGATATCAGAGCTCGATAAACAGAGTAAACAAAACATTTTTGTTTTGTTGCCTCATGGGAAATTGAATTCTGTAGTCCATAGCTTTTGAGAATTCACACTGTCTATTCAATATGCCACTGCACTGTTAAGTAGTCTATAAATAATCTGGAACAACACAAATGTAGAATATATGAGAGCCTAGTGAAAAGTATGTGCCAACATAGTTAGTAACCAATGATGGTGCCAATGATGACAAACTGTTACAGCCGAAAAATGTCAAAACAGGACCCTGAAAAAGTCTGTTAATCCAGATTTTAACCCAAGAAGTACCCAGGTGCTGCAACTACTGATATGAATGAAGTTGATATAAATGTCTTCATACGAATCTGATCTATCAAAGTCTGAAAGATTTGCAATCTCACTGAATAGTGACTAATCGCAGTGAGATTCAATTTTTAAAGAATCAATTGATCATTATAACCCATGAAATCTTTCATAGCATTCTTAATCTAACTTCAGACCCTTATCATAAATTATTTTTCTCTATTACATGTACATGTATACAGGAATTTCTTCACAAGTGAAATGTAACTAATCTCAAACAGATGTTCCATCTTTTGTGACTTCACATGACAAACCTTTCAATTGCTATGATAGAGTATACACTCATACATTCTTGGAGACTCCAGAATGTATGACTCTATGAAGACTTCAGCAGTCAATGCCCATTCCAAAGGCTATTGTTGCTATTAGTAGCCGGATGGTACCATTGTCAGACCGAAAGGACTCCAAAATGTTATGCTTACTGGCTTCAGGAGTGCAGGAATGCAACATTTCAACAAGCACATGTTTTGAATCATTTCCAATAAACATTAAAGTAAAACATTAATGGTAGCATAAAGTAAACCACATTATCTTATAGTCTGGCAATAAATAATAGTTCTTTCTGTTTTTTCCTGACCCTGTTTCAGTTCATCAGTAAGCCAGCCAAAATAGAATTCCAGTTCCATGTCCTTATCCATATACTGCACAACATAAGCAACATTTGATTTATTTTGACTTTCCTTAATTTCTACTGCATTTTTCGTGTTCAGAAGGTTGAAGTAAGACTCCCAGATGCTTCCATTTAATTATCTTGTGATGTTCCCCTACACGTCAAAAGGAAAATAGACAGCATTAATCTATAATGAAATTTCTAATAATAATAATAATAATAATAATAATGTAATAATGAGAACGTTTTTAATTCTAATAATTTCATACTAATAATAATAATACTAATGTCATTCAGTGCTAAGGAACATGTAGAAAGCTGTAGTCCCTAGCTCCTTTAACATTGCCAGGACTTTCAAGGTCCTATCGGACTGAGTTCTTCAAACGACGTTAGCTTCAAGCATAGGTTTTTAATAGGTTAATGGGACATTTATCTCCATTTTAGGGTCTAGGGGTCTACCATCTTAGAACTCTTAGGTTTTATTTGTGTCGGGACAGGTCCTGTCAGACTAAGGTCCCTATATGACGTTAGTTTCAAGCATAGTTTTAATAGGTTGATGGGACATTTACTTCCTTTTAGGGTCTAGGGGTATAAAAATTTAAAAAGTTCACCTTTTATCTATGTAGTAGTGACAATCAAGTAGGCTACACCATGGCACCCAATATCAATTTTATTGGTTATCTGAAGCATTCAGAAGTGTATACTGCGATGATAATGTCTTGTATTTAGACACAATATTTTTACAGGTGATCATGTCTAATATAACACAGACAGAATAAAATAACGATAACCAAAATAAGACCACAGTGTAATACTAATACTGACTAAACTATATACATTTTCCATTTACAATATTTACATTCTTATTGTCCTTTCCTTTATACTGCTTAATTAAAACATACATGTAACATAACATTTTGCAGCAGACTCGTTTTTATTTAAACACTTACCATTGTCTTGCAACATGCGCTTCATCGATGGCAATGGCACAGAGTTTTTTGGAATACACAGAGTTCGTCAGCATAAATATCCAGCGTTCGTTCCTTAACCACGCCTCAGGGGATCCGTAAACTAAGGAATATTCACCGCTTTCAACACGAGTGCGTTTACTATCCTCAAGTGAACTTATGTTAGCTGCTTTTAGCCCTAGCTCCCTCAAATGGGACACTTGGTCGTTCATAAGGCTTTCCCCAATGGTGAGACAACGACGACAATATGACCCGGCTCTTGTGAGGTAAGATCAAACACGAGTGATAGTGCTTCATACAGGGGAGATTTCCCGAAACCAGTAGGAAGAATGACAAATACATCCTTTTTTTCCTCAACTATTTTCCTAATTCCAGTTTTTTGCTGCGCATTTAAACTAGGAATTCGAAATGTATTACTAACAACATCAAACGCTTCTTCAAAGGATGCCATTTTGAAAGCTTTGAACTCGAAAATGAAACAAACAACATGATTAGTTGGACTACTTTGGCGCGCACAGTTCTCAATATATGTAACCCAAATAGTGATTGGTTTAAGTAGCGTAAAGGAATGTTGTTCGAATGCGAGCAGCCGTTTGTGGGGAGAAGCGTTGCGTGACGAGACTAAAAACGGCCGCGCGAGGGAGACTACCGATTAAAATGCTCTCTAAAAGTAAAAATAATAAGGTCTTAAACATAACGTAACACTCCAAAAGACTTAACTCTGTCTCGTCTAACTGGCGATGGACTGAGTCTGAAATAGGCAAACAATATTTACTACAAATTTTATTGAATCATGCATTATTTACAAATGTGCAAACTTAAAAAGAGTTATGCATCAAGGGCATGGTTTATAATAATGCCGTGAAAGAGAAGTGGAACAGTATAACTTTTAATGGACAGCTAAATTCATTGGTTGTCTTTCTCTGGCCATTTGTTTGACGCCCTTTTACCTTTAACGCACAGAATCGTGTGAAACAAATAGTTTAAGGTTCCCAGTAGTGTATACAGAAATACAGCTTTGATTCTACTTTAACAATTGGCGCAGTTATTTACTTGCTTCGACTTTGTGTCAGACAGCTAAATCGTTCTTCGTCTTGTTTCTGGTTCAACACCACTAACTTCTTCATAAAGATTCCCACTACATGAATGGCTTTACATTTTCCCTCTTAGGACTGACACTCCCAGTAGTGGATGTAGCAATACATCTTTGATACTCCACTTGATAGGCTACCTTCGCATTTGCACTTGTAGACACCTGAGTTCGGGCTTGACAATTGCACAATTTTTGCGTCATTTGAATCACAGTGTACACCAATAAACGTCTTACCCTGCCGAAATAAGGATGATGATGAGAAATGACGTCTTGAGTTGGAAATGTGAAAGTTTAAAACATCTTTTTTGAGAAGATGTTTTTTTATCTTGTCACGAGCGTGTGACGAAGAAAACAGTTTTGTGGGATCGAGCCTCGTACATTCTGATTTCTCGCTTTGATACCCTGCCACTGAGCCACCGATACATATTTATTTTTTTAACCGAGCTCAAAACTTACCATCTTTCTCATTCTTTCTCTTTTCTGTTTGTTAATAGGTTAGTGTACATATTACATCATTTCACCCAAATCACGTAATACACGTCTTCATATGTTCCATATTGATGAAAAGCTTTTACCGGGTGCTTTTCTCGTTAAGGCCAAAATAACTGCACTGCAACTTAATTAAGTAACATTCAAAATTCGAATAGCCCATGCGCTTTTGTCATACGAGCAAAGAATTTTTTTGACCCATTCAACCCTTTTTGAAAATAACGCTTCTTCAAGCTATTCACGCCTGAGCTGAGTAATTAATTCTCTTTGTGACTTCATTAACATTAAAAATTCAAAAATTTTCCTGCCGGTGTCATTCGAGCAGAGAAGCTTGCTGGACCCACTTTGAAAAAGACGCTCTTACGCGCTGTTTTGCGCAAGCTTAATTAAAGATAATCTTTTTGCTTTCATCAAATGATTCACATTTCCAAAAGTTCTTGTGCCAGAATTGTTTCTCAAACCAACTATTACACTCACGCTCTTGTTGCACAAACCGTACAATTAACTTTCTCTGCAACTTCCAAACCATTCAACCCGTTTCGCTTCTGTCTAAAAGTCATGCTCTTCCGTGCTACTGTTGCACGAGACAAAGAAAAAGCTCTCTACGAAATCATCAGCAGTCAATATTTGACAAAATTCTAACGCTACTGTCGATCAAGCCAAGAAATCACTCTTCTATTTGCTTATTGTCTCCCGAACCCACCATGAAACTCTTTCTACAACTTCATCGTGCCCAAAAGTTTTCCGACCTTTTCCGTGTCATTTAGAAAATGCCCTACTTCCGTTCAAGCTTATCGGAAAACCCTTCTCTGCGACGTAATCGGCATTCAAAATCCCAAACTTTTGCTCCCTTGTCGATCGAAGCCCACTCTTTTCTTGAACTATAACTCGAATTTATAGTTTTGAAATTCGCGCCCTTTTTACGTTAACGTTCTCTTGTTCTACGGTGAAAAGTCGACACCATAATTATAATGCTAATATAACTCAAAGATTAAAGAGAGGCATGTCGCAAGAAAAAACATTTACTTTGGTTTAGCCTTGTTGAAATCCAGTGAGTAGTCTCATGTTAAAGAATTCCGCGAAAACGTTTCGAAGTTTAAGTTAGAAAAACCATCACCAGACAAACGAACGAGATATTGAGCGCGGCCGTGTTAAATCACACCTTTTTGGTTGCGTGCATAACACGCGCGCTACGGTGTATTTCAAGTGCATCATCTCGCCGACTCAACTAGTGAGTAGTCATAGTTAAAAACTGAAATGGGGAAAGTTTTCGTCTTGTATACCAGCTACCAAATGGAAATAAATGAACAAGCGATGAAAAATTTGGTCCAGTGATGTTTCGCGCTGGGTTGCAAAGGGGAAAAAAGCACATTTTTGGTCTGTGAAATGCGTTATTTTTGTCTCCTTTTAATTCTGAGGTGTTCGAGCCATAAACTCAACAAGTCAGAGCAGACGAAAAAAACGAGTCGTAACGACCTTAACTTTGAAGTCAGCGCGACCCTTTGTTTAGTGGCAATCAATCTTCAAATCTCTTGAGCTACATAAATGTCTAGGGATACCACTCCTAGGCAAAAATCGCCCCACCGAAAAAATTATCGCCTGAACTCGATACTTGCCGAGCTCTATTTAAACCCTGTGATGAAAAGTTCCAGGAGGATAATGAAAAATAGCGCTACAGTCATCAAACGTATCAAAACATAACAATAGGCGAAAATTGATATGCCTTAACTTCCGAGAACTCAACAGGGAACAACCCGTTTTTACTAATGATTTACATGTACGTTTAAATGTATGCTAGGATTGATGCATAATAAAATCCATTAGTGGGAGGATCGTTCGTGCATTATTAAAAACTTTATTGGCGAGGTACATGGTCAATAAAAGCTTCGCAAGTTTTTTGAAAACAAACAATTGCAAATGTGTCTTGGTTCGAGGGAAAAAAGAAAACATTTTCATACATTTACCGGCAAAATGAACCTGCCCAACAAGTTAGTGCTGATGTTTGTAATACGTTGTTAAATGTTTTCCTTTACCTTCCGTTTTAACCTTATTGGGTCAGCCTTTTTGGTTCTTAAAGTGAAAGTTAAATATGCTTAAAATACTCGATTCGAAAAAGGATTGAAGTTAACGACTTAGATAGCTCTAGGGTTGAGTAGGCTTCGATTTTCTTAAATAAATGAAAACTGACCTGCTGACTTCAACATTTGGACTAATCTTTGGACCGGTAAACGTTATTTTAAGCGTTAACATTTGCCAGAAATATTTTAATAAATACTTTTTTTTATAATCATACAACTTGCAGAATCTTTAGCTAATAGCTATGCGAAGGTCGGTCGCTTTCGCTTTTTCTAATTTTATTAGTTTTTTGTAAAACGCTTTTGCATCGAGATATTTCTTGGCCAGTTTGCCTTGCTTTCTTTTCGATAGCGTTTACTTTCAGGTAAAAATTTGCACATTGACTTTGAGCATGTACTGCGATAGTAATCTTACATCGCTATTTCGCAGTAAAATTTTTGAACGAAAATAAAAATTTGTTTCACTGAAAAAAGGGGAAAAGAAAACAGAAAGAAGCGGATGTATGCAGCAAGATGACGTTGGTAAAACTATGATTGAAACTGAAAATGTCATCAACAAATGTTATGGAGACAAAATGCCAATAACGCCGATTTATTCTTTCTTCTGTACCCAATATAGAGCTGATCTGTAACTTACGTTTGGTTCTGTCACTTCCATTTCTTGACTAGAGTACGAACCTGGTGTCATACCAGAGCTGGCTGAAGTCTTGTAAACACAGGAAATAGCGGCGGGTCCAGGTGGG